ACTAATCCTTGTCGGCCATTGTTGACATAGTTCAGGCTTCAGCCCTGAAGTAGTTCTTCTTGTACTATCTTGTCACACAAATGCACTCTATATATAACTGTCAAGTGGCAGCCAGCTGCCTTCGACACCCCTGCACATACCTCAGTGAGAACGTGAAGCCCAGACAATGACATTTCTTCAACTGGCTTGCTGATCTCTGGCCCCTGAGAGAACTCCATGGTCTCCTCAGCATCATCAGCCTCCTCGACACTCAGCGTCGTTGACTCCTCTATGCTCTCAGGTGGCGGCAGCTCAGTGTGGGAAACACTGTCTCCATGCGTGTGCTCACATTGCCCCAGTGTCACCGTTTCTGGGGGCTCCTTCCGCTTATCGATTTCCATCGGCAAAGTGTCCTCCTTAAGAGGCTTGCACATTTCATTTTGCGTCGCTTGCAGTCGAAAAGATGGCGGCGTCTCCGGCTTAGGATGCAAATTGTCAAACTCTCTCTCCTTGTTCTCAGTGTGATCATGAGAGTCCTTCTTATTCTTCCCAAAGAGGAAGTCTTTGACTGAGTGGAGCATAGAGGAGATGGAAGTCTGGATTTTGTGGTGTTCATGATCTTTGTGAACCTTGCTGTGGTGTTTGACTTCTGATCCATGTTTTGTATGAGGGACTGCATGCGACATCTCCAACTGCCTCTCCCTTTCTAATTCTTCCTCCCTCCTTTTCTCTCTCCTATGCGCTTCCTCTAGTGCTTTCTCTTGTTCCTCCCTCTCTTTCTGCATCCTCTCTTGCTCTCTATCTTTCTCCACACTTGCACTTACAGCAGACACGTCCATCTCTTTGCATCTCTCTCCTCGAGGTGAGTTCTGTTTCTCCTCTGCAGCCTGGGACTGAAGAGTCTCTGCCAGAAACTGTGCCAAACTGATTCCTCCATCATAACAGTTTTCACCTCCATTTCCCATCATATGGCTTTTGCTACTGCTGCTAACTGGAACATCTTCTCCATTTGAGATCTTTACTTTCTTTACAGCCATGCTTTTCTCAGATGGAGAAGTCTCCTTCTCCAGGTCACTGTCTTTGGCTGTCACGGGGGCTGTTTCCTTGGCTTCAGAGCTAACTCCATTAGCTTCCGCAGCAGTTCCCAATTGTTCCACAGCCTCCGGCTTCTTGACCGCTGGTGGTGGGACAGAGCGCTTTCTTGGGGGACGTTCCGGGCTACTACGCAATTGCTCTTTCTGTATGACAGCTTTTTCCTCTTTCTTGTTCGGCCCCTCCATTTCGTTTTTCTTCTTCTCTGCTTTCTGCTTCAGCTTGGAAAAGAACCTCTGATGAATCTGATACTCGTTCATGGTGCCAACCTCTAAAACTCCTGAACAGGAGACAATCCCTTTGCTATTGCAGGCAGAGACCTGGTAGATGGCTGCGTCCTCCAATGTGCAGCTGTAAACAAAATGATTTTTTTATTTTTTATAAATGTTGTCTTAGAATTCTTGTTGTATTACAATACGCAAATTAACTCCAAAAGCACAATTCCTAGTAATTGAAACTGTGGGAATAGATTCTTCAAAGGTTATAATACATACTTGTAAATATGGAGGGTGTGGGTTTTTCCATTACGGCGAATTTCATATTTTGGAAGTCCACAATACCGGTCCATTTCCATATCATCTTTATACCACTTCAGCTCTGGAGCTGGGTAACCTAAAGACAAGGTTAGTAAACGGTAAACTGCTTAGTAATCAACATTTCACTCTTAGTGCTACAATTTACTACTTGTTAATACTCTCTACCAAAGGATGAAGTCTAAAGACAAAGTGTGCCAAAAATGTTCCTTTCATAGAAATACTTAATTCGAGAAATCATGCATAAAGTAAAATAGGGCACAGAAGCTTTGACAAGAATGTGTTGCAGTGTTGCATCATGTAGTGTTGTGATGTGTAACAGAGGAACAGCTGCTGCAGTTGGTTGGCCCACCCATCCAATCTGCCTGAAGCAAATAACAAATCATCCTGAAAGATCAGCTTGAATAATATGTGGCATGTTTTATTTGCAAAGTGATCTGTGTCCTTTTGTTTTCAGATTAGTCATGTCCTGTCTCTTCATATAAAAAAAAAGGACTAAAAGTTTGATTTACTCCAACAAAGAACACGCAGAGGCATGCCACACAGGCTGTCAAGGACAGACTCACCAGACACGACACAAGTGAATTTCACATTACAGTTTTCTGAGACTGCCTTTGATTTCAGGGTGTTCTCAAAGGAGGGTTGTATGTCTTCAGTCAGCTGAGCCATGACGCTGCACAATGTGCTCCTGGAAGCAAACACAAACGCATTAGGTCGTTGTTTTCATAAGGAAGACGGTGTCATTTCAGTGACCTCTTCACCGTTGTGCAGAACATTCCAATGACTTGCTCCATTAAGAGGAAAAGATGTTAATGGGAATTTCTGGTAGTGACGAGAGTGTGAAAGAGTGAGACATCAAGCCAAACAGAGTCGTCAATACAACATTAACGCCGATGTTTACCACTGTAATTGAACGCAACACTGGACAAACTGGACACTTACATTACAGTTAAAATGTGTGTGGTTTCATTCTTGGAGACAACCAGTTTTTTGTGGTTAAAATGTTAGTTGGGAGGAATGTTTTGAAAGTATGGATTACCTCGTTGGCCTGTAGTGAGAATACCTTGAATAGCTATTCAGAGAAGAGGCAAATGAAGGGATGCAAATGATTAATAGGATCTCTGTATATCGAACCCACCTAAATAATAAAATAAAAAAAGAGCTGGACTTCTTTTTGAAAAGGACAACTTTCTTTTTTCAGTGGTTTGAATTTGAGCTTCATAGATAAATTGCACTTTAATCCACATTTAGGGTTTGTGAATGTTGTAGCTCAAACTGCCTGCCAATAGATGATTTTTCTTGACAACCATTCTGCTTTTTTCTGATTCTTTTTATCTGATTAACAAGATCAAAGATTGACACGTTCTGTGTATACATGGATGTAAATAAGGGTGCCTACCTGTTTTCCGGCCTAACATTAGAGAGGTAAGGATTGCGGGTTTCTGGGCGGCCATTGGAAGAGCTGCCCTCCTCTTCACTGAAGCTGCTTGTCCTCCCATTGCCAGAAAAAGATCGAGTCATTGGCCTTCTGGAAGTCATTGTCCTTTGAAGCACTTCACAAAAAAAAAAGGTAAAATCCGTGATAAAAGTGCCACCCAAAGTATAAAACTACTCTGGTCGCGTCCACAGCTTGTTTGCAGGGCTCAACTTTATTGGTGTTATCCAGGTAAAAGCCCCTGTTGCATAAAAAAGAAAACACTTCAGAATGGTAACAAAACCTGCTGGAGGTGAACAGAAAAAAAAAAAAAACACAACACTGGGTTATCTTGTATAAAAGTAAAAGTCAGACTTAATGCTTGTCCTTTCTCACCAAGCAAAGTAGCCACAGTGGATCAGGTTATAAATAGTATCAGCTATCTGGTTGTGGAAGGACTGTTAGTGGTCAAACACCAACCTAAGACATGTTATTTACTTTTAAGTGTTAGGAATATAGTTTAAGTGGTTCTCAGTCACCTTAAAAGTTTCTTAATTTTTCAACTTACCATTGAGATGTTGTCAGTGCTGCTTTGGAGCTGGACTCTGTGGAGAAAATCTCAGTAGCAGCCTATCATAGACACACATGTGTTGCCAGCAGGGCCTATTTTTAGCAGCCCTACAAATAGGTGCAAGAGCACATCAGATTTTCCGAAACTAAGTTTTAGAGGAAGTCAAGTAATAATAACTAATTCTAATCAAGCTTACCATTTACACCGTACCGTATATTTCGGAATACCTACTATCTAATTGACAGTTATGCTGTAAAATGTACTCACTATAGTTTCTGATCTACCTAAATAAAATTGGGTGTCCCATCTTTGTGAGACACTGCTGTTGGGTTGGATGTGGACTTGCAAAACATGTCTTCATGATGTAGCCAATGACAACCAATAGTCTGTGTCCTCTGCTTTGCTTAAGAGTTGCTAAAGGCCCGGCCCCCCCCTGACTTTGAATTGCAACACATGGTAAACATAGAGGGACACTCCCGTCTCTCATTTCACATCAATTAGACAAAAACAGACTCGGCTACTGAAATGTAGAAAAGGGTCATTTAAGATATTGATGAGTTAGTTATATTATCTCTGTTGAGTTGTTTAATTATGATATTTACTTGATGATCATTTATACATTCATAGTTGAAATTGTATTCATGGTTTTATCAAAACAAAAAAAACATTTTTATGCAACATACTGTTCTATCTAAAACATTATCAAACAGCATACATTTCTGAGTTAGGCAAACTTGAATTGAGACCTATACTCTTTGTAAAAATGTCCTCTAAATAAGTGGCAGGGAATGCTAAAATAACATTAGTGGTCAATATAATGTTAATCCCCCCATAGATTAAAAAAAATGAATTCCTCCTATAACCATTTCATTTTAATAATTTCATTAAAGGTCATAACAACATCATATATAATTAAAGTAATGTGTATGACTTCTTTCAATGTTTAAAAGCCATGTAACACACTTCACAGACAGCAGGAAGGTCATGCAATGTGTTTTTCAGCTATTTTTAAATTTGGGACTTTTTTCTGTTTCATAAGTCAAGAATAAAATAATAAGTTAGCTTGACTAAATAGGAACAAAACTGTGATGGATCAAAAATAATTCTTGAATGAATTTGACAATGAGAATAATTTCCAGTGAACCAAAACAGATTCCTCATTACCGTAATGCCGATAAAAGTGGCTCCGCATGCATATCTTTCACCTGATTCATAAAGACATAACAGTTAAGGGGTTCGCTTGTTAGGATGTTTTACAAATTAAAACATCTTTATAATTTAAAATCAAAAGAAAGTATTATTTTTTTCAAGTATACCGTAGATGAAAGAGTATAAGGTTCTCAGAGTGCTCCCATATTACCGGCTCTACGGTAAAGCATGTATGCACACCCTCATTCCGGGAAAAGGAAGAGTTAGGTCAATATCACAAAAGTATTAAGATTGTAAGCGGGGGGGAAATAGCTCATTGTGCCTGAGAGCCGGCAGCTACTCAACACGTACAAGGCTGAAGACAGGTATTCACTTACACATTTGTTTATGATAAACATTTTGTAAACTCGTCGTTTTCATGTCTAAATGAAAATGTTTCTTTTTGACGGTTCAGTATTTATAACTTCGGTTTGTTGAATTCCAACTTTACAAGAAATGAGAAGTCACGAGTGGATTATGGACTAAAATACACTTCGACTTCCTATTGTTTTATTTCGCAGTCTTTTCTTAGTTTTTTTTTTTGTCTGTAGCCTATCTGGTAATGTGAGGACTGACTGAAATAACATAATGTTTTTAATCTGATTTACCCTTCAGTCTGACAGAAGAAGAATAAGATGCACTGATAATTGGATCCCTCCCAAATCCCTGTCGAATGATGATCAGAGGTATGTTACATTGATCCAGGAAACTGTAGACTTGGCATGCCATGACTTTTCAGCTATTACTAGTAATAGTAAAAAAAATTATAGTAGCACCACAGTTTGATTTCAGATGAATGAAACTCTGTCCTGATTTGTTTCAGAAATCGTGATTGTGCTGCATCCTGTTTCTGTGTGTGTGCCTGTGAACCACAAGGTGACTCTGAGAGTCTGTGCTGAGGGCACAGGTATCCTCAGCTACCAGTGGTTCACTGAAGACAATAAGGAGGTGTGTGGAGTTTACGTGTGCAATGAATCCAAGAATTAAAATCTTCTGCCAGAACATTTCTCTCCAGAGACATAATCATTATTTTTGTTATCCAGGTTCCCGGTGGCATTAAAGCAGACCTGACCATCACAGCTAAACAAACTCAACTCTTTGTGTGCCGAGTTAGTGACCACCTCTTCAACTATGTGTTCAGCGACTGGGTGAAAGTGAAGGTGTTGGACATTGATAAATCAGGTGTGCATTGTGTGATTCTCATCTTGAATTAGTATGGTACTTGTGTTTTTATTGCATATCTGTTAGTTGGCAGTGAACAAATTGAATGCATATTCCTAGTTTAATGTTGTGGGTTTGATTCTACTAGTTTCTTTTCAAACATCAGGTTTGCCAGTAGACTGGACGGGCGAGCCACACATTGCCATCAACCCTAAACCCCGGACAGTCAGGAAGGGGACGAAAGTCACTCTCCGCTGTTTAGCCTTTGGCATCCCAGCTCCTTACTATCACTGGTACAGAAATGGACAGCCACTCCTGGACAAAACCAGTGACACACTGCAGGTGAGGAAGGATAACAAGCAAGTGTTTACGTACCTCAGTCCTGACGGTGTTTGTTTACTTAATGCTTTACTGACTGTGTCATTTCACCTACTCTGAATCAGCCTTCCCTGACTATGTAATTCATTTGGAAAATGTGGCTAGTATTGTCGGTACAATATCGTTTTGATGTGCTAGATCGCAGAAAAACAAGCAATGGTAATTATTTTATCGTTTGTGTTACGTGTAGATTGAACATGCAACAGCCGAACATGAGGGATCATACCTGTGCTCAGTATCTAACGTCTTAGCAGAGAGATGGACTGAACCGGTCCAGGTTGAACTTGGTAAGTCAAAGCTGCTACTTCATTTAGAAAATTAAAAAAAAAAAATCAGAATTAAGTCATCTTCTAATAGATTAACTTCCTCTATTTATTTAAAGAAATGACTGAAAAGCTGTGTTTTTCACACACTATTTTCATTCCACTGAATTAGCACTTAGGCTTTAGGTCGTTTCCATTATGCTGGAGGTACTTTCCAATTTCAAAAAGGAAGTTGTTAGACTCCAAATAGTACATGTCCAAGCCCGAGACACAAAACAGGAAAGTGATGTAAAGTGAAACTAGTTCTTGCTGAATGTCTACTGTTTGTACATTAATCTGTGGTATAGGCTACAATACTTAGCAAAAAAAAAACATCAACAGCTGGGCTGTTCAGTTTGAGTCTGCTGGGCAGAATCATAGAAGTTGAGATCTTTTTTTATGCAACTTTCAAATACTAATGTATTGTTTCTCTATTTTAATTTCCTCTAGAGCAAATGCAGCAGCTTCCTCCTCCTGCACCCACAGGTAAAGAATAATAAAAACACTTAGTTTCAAAAAATCCTGATTAGGAATAAGATATTACGATATGCATTAGCTTTACCTTGTGTGTTTGAAAATGCATTCTGCTCTGATATTATCTTTTAGCCTCTGATAAAGTTGCCCTACTTATTGGCAACCTGAATTACTCCAACCACCCTGGCTTGATGGCCCCCATCATGGATGTACACAAGCTGTCCAACCTCCTGCAGCAGCTTGGCTTCAGAGTGGTTTCACTGCTGGATCTCACCAAGGAGGAGATGCTTGCTGCTATTGACAAGTTCATTCAGCTCCTTGATAGAGGAGTTTATGGTGAGCACAAACTACCAATACTTATTTTTTGGTTAAATGAGCTTCATTCCTCAGATGGTTTAATATTTCAGCTGGTGTTTTGTGGCCATTATCAATTGTTGACCACTGGTCTTGGGTCATGACACACACATACTCATACGTATGTGTGTGGCTGACTGGGCTTTAAAGTGTAAAAAGTAGTGTATACAAAGTTTCCAACATTGTATGTACAGAACTTTCTGATTGGCTGTGGCACTTTTATGTTTTTTTTTATAGAAAATCAGGCAGTCGACTTGACCTTCATATTTCTACATGTGACCTGTGATCAGTTAAACAGGGTTTAGAAAAAGACAAACTGTATAACCAAATGATGGTAATGATGAACTAAAAATGACAGCAGAAGTGTCCTGCTGTGTCATCTTGATGCTGTGTTTCTATTCTCCATGTTTTCTGGCTGACAATGAAACAAATTTCACAAAGGCGGAGAAGCACATTTGTTTATCACACTACTGTATTTTAGTCAGCCATATCTTTTTAATCCCCAGTGTGCCTTTTTTCTCTAATGCTCCAAACATTAAATATTACTATGTCAGGATTACAAAATAAGTGCAGTGCTGAATGTATTTCTTAATGTCTTGAAGGGGTAACTTGATGTGTATTTTATCAACATTTACAGGACTTTTCTACTATGCCGGTCATGGGTATGAGCGGGCTGGGAGAAATTACCTGGTAGCTGTTGACGCTCCACAACCATACAACCCTAAAAACTGCGTCTGTGTGCAGAGGGTCATGCACAGCATGCAGCAAAGACAGACTGCGCTGAACATTATACTACTGGATACCTGTAGAAAATGGTAGGTGCAGTAAATAATCTTTGTTCTTCTTAGAGATGAGTGCCATGTGGATATGCTCATACTGAATCACACAAATGTAGAATATTTTATGTTAAAAAGTTTGAATTAGGTTGAATTTGTCAGACTATGTAAACTATCAGAATTCTCTTGTGTTCTTCTAAAAAACGGTATTTTACTTTTTCAAAGGTACAACCAGGATTGCATGCCCTCAGCCATCATGCCCTTGGCACCAAGTGGGAACACTGTTTATGGTTATGCCACGTATGTACTTTTTATGTTTTACAACTACCACTATTTACTTAGAACCAATAACCATACCAACTTACTGATAAAACCATGCAAGCACTGACCTAGGAATACGTTCTTTGAATAAAGTCAAAATGCTGTTTAATATGACGTACAGGGTGACGTTTTTTTTTGCTTGCTCTGAGTTTTTTTCTCTTATCTTACTGTTGCAGGTGTGAAGACGCTGAGGCTTTTGAGGTACAGGACGGGGGGAAAAGTACTGGAATCTTCACCAAGTACTTGAATGCGCACATCCTGCAGTCTGTGAAAGTCACACATGTCTTGGAGAGGGTTTCTGAGGGTAAGAATTGTCAACAAGCCTCTAAGAATTTACCCAAAATGTTGCTGTAAATCTTACACTGTTTCAAACAATGCTGGTTTTTATTGTACGTTTGTGGGTTTGAGTACACCAAATAGGAAGTGGTTGTTTGAAGTGAAATCTTTTATGGTTACATCTTTGGGGTTCCCCGAAGGGTACTTAACCTTTTTCGATTGTATCCCTTCATTTGAGTGACAGTTTCTTCAGAATGAGGGTAAACAGATCTGATGGGAACAGGCCTTCCTCTGGTTTGCAGAGAAGTTGTATAACTGTAAGCAAATCCTTTCCAGTGTTGTTTACACAGGACTGGTAAATCTAGCCGTGACAGAGCCTGGTTGGAGGAGTTATCAAGCTGTCCTGTCTTAAGAGCCTGTTTGTCTGCTTGATGCGACTCTGGTAGAATAATTTTTCGAGGTACCATAAGCATGTGACCTCATTCTCTGGAAATTTACACTGTTGGCTAGAGAACAGCACGAAACCTGAGAGCTACAGGGTGCAAGACAGCTGCTCTGCCTTTTGGGCACCCCCTGCCTCTGCTCTCATGGGTTCACGCACAGAATCAGGGTCGGCTGAGATGGTCAAATAAACAATGGTTGTTTGAAATTAAGCTCTTCGATTTTTTTTTATTAAAACTTAAATTTTAAATTAAAATCGTCTGTAACTTTAAAATCATCATGCCACTACTTTCGATATCCGCTCATCTTGTTGCTGACTTATTTAGAGATGGAAAAAGAGATGCTGTGGGTTGCTCATTCATTATAACCACATAGGGTGGAGACAGCTTGCTCAAAATATCCCTGAAACCAAATCTTCTCTAATGCAGAGTACAAATCTATATTCAATGATTTGAGCACGGTTTCACTACTGGTCCTGCTAGTCCGCCCAGTGAACTGGTGTAATGACTTGTTTGTTGCATGTAATGAGTCTTGTGAGGAATGGTTTCCCATTAATCATCCAGTCCTGACAAATCACTTGCAATAACTGACTTTGTTATTTAAAATTTCCCTAAGTTCCTCAATGTTGTTTGTCTTTTTGTTTTATGCTGAATCTGATACATTCCTAATAATTTCACCCGGCGATTGCAAAACTTGGGCAGCCACATCATCGTATGAGTGTACATACATGTGCTGTTGTTTGTGGATGTGTCAGGGTTGATTTTCTCAAAAAACGTGTCGAATTGCACAGAGTAAAATGTAGAAGGACGTCCTGGAAAATTGTATCCAACGTTTCTGATACGATATGTCCGGGTATTATAGGGATAACATTTCTCACCTGGCATTTTGTCTCTCTGTCTACAACAGATCTCGGAAGAGACCCTCTTGTCATAGGCAAGCAGGTGGTGGAGATAAAACACACCCTGACGGAACCCAGATCCCTTGCAGACCCAGTTCGCACCACCGGCTACACAAGAGAACTCCACCTGCGAGATGCCTGTTGGAGACAAGCAAATGGTGAGTAAGGGAATTTTCCCCAAATGTACATGTTTTTTCCTGTTTGTCGAATTATATATAGACGGAATGCGAAACAAATATTATTTCCATCAGGTTAACCATATTTCCTCTTCTTGATCTCTTGTCACCTTGAGTAGGAGATAGAGATTGTCCTATTTACCGGTACTCCTCCTCACTACTCCTACACAGCAGCATGTGTCAAACCAAGTGCAGAAATCTGGTTTAGTGTGGTGTTTTCAACAACATTCAAAAAGCTACTGGTTGCTTTTGAGGAAGTTGAACCAGAGGACTGGTGTATTTTACAAAAGTTTGCTTTTCTGTTAGATGGAAGGTAGTCATTTTTTGTAATCTCAAAACTTCCTCAATTTAACATTTTGCCTATTTTTTGTTTTGTGTTCTTTTCCATCTGAAAATCTTTCACCTTTGCGACCAAATAAAGATTACAAATCTCCATGCCTTAAATTAACAGACCAGCTGAAAAGTTACTGATGCGGTTCTCAAAAGGCTCTACAACATCAGATACTTTATCTTAGTGTTTTAAAACCACAACACACAGGTTTGGAACTTGTAAACACATGTTTTCATCTCCTTTCAGAGCTACCACGGAAGAAGCGGCTGATGTTCCTTTGCGGGGTAGAAGTGGAAGTGAGCTTCTCGGCTTTGTTCTCAAATGTCTTGGTGGTTTTTGCCATTGTGAAGACTACAGGCCCCAGAACCCAGGACTGCACCATCACTCTGAGCAGCACGCCTGTAAATATTGTTTTCTTCAGTGTTACTGTCAAGTTTCATTTCATTCATATAGAAACCACAAGAGATATATGCAGTGACAGTCTGATACATTTAGATTAACACCCCACTGAAGCGAGACTTTCCTTTTCAAGAGTTACAATACTAAATATGAGGTTTTAAAATATGAGTTGTATCTATTACATTACAAATTCCACGTTGCTCACTGTAGAGCGGTTTCCATTATCCAACAAGAATCTCTCAGTGATGTTAATTCACCCCCATGTTTCATGTCAGAGGATATTGTGCCCAAATATGGACTTCCAGTCTGCTGCAACCACTGACAAAGACAAAGCAGGAAGTCCTAGTAGCCATGTGCCTTACGTGTGCCTCCATTCACGTTTTTAAACCTTTGACAAGCCTGCCATCTAGTGGCTGATTTGTGAATGCATGACTATTGCAGTTCATTTGTAGCAGCGTGTCAGGGCTAGGCCAGTGTTAATATTGTACAGTTTTTTGGAGGGTTGACTAACATGCTTCATGATTGTTGTTGAAAATAATGCTGATGCTTACAAAGTATTTTATGCTCTTAATCCTTAGACAATGGAAGACTTGTTATCCGGCCCTTGCAGGTCAGAGGAGATGGACTCCCTTCTATTTATGACATCTGAAAAGCCAGACTGCTCTTTGCGACTTTGTGCCCTTCAAAAACTGAAGGTATGTCCTCCATGATATGTACATGTGTTCCTATAACTTGTTATTTTTCAACAAAACACAGCAAGTCTTAAAAAGAAAGGCTGGTGCAATGTGATAATTTGATTTTTTTTTTTCTCACCTGGCTTTGTTAGGAATCACTGGTCATCAAAGTGGAGCTACACTATACACACATTGACAATCAGCTGCGCAAGACAGAAAGTCTAAAAGTGGAAATAGGAAAGCCTTTGGTGGCATCGTGCAATCTTCACAGGAGGAATCATGCAACAACAAGCAAGAAAAAAGAAGGGGCTTCTGTTCAAAGTATGGGCAACATTTCAAATGGAAGACAGCTGCACCAGACTCTGGCTGGACCATGCCGCCCTTGCACAAGAAAGGCAGAGTGTGCTCCTAAAGTTGCAGGTACAACAAGCAACGAACCTGAAGAAAACGATGAAAATGAACTGCAAGACTATACTCTTGCCTATAGACTTGCCTGGCCCCATTATTGTAAATACTATATTGAAAGAACTGAATGTTTTTTTTACTTGTATGATAAGGAACCACACAGATGGAGATCTTGTTTTTGTGATGGTTGATAACGAATGAGTGAATGACTGAGGTTTGGCTTGGTGTTGCCGACCCTCCTTATATTTTTGGCACAACACAAGACATAGCCTAATAACACTTAATTTTGCTAACCACTAAATAAATCATGCATTTTTTTAACTTATTATAAATATCACTTTATAATCAATGGCAAGCTGGCTAGCCTAATTTTGAGAATAAACTTAAGCTACTGTTGATAATTTATGAAATAAATCTCTTGTCCAGGACGAGATTCAGGTGAAAAATAAATAAATTACCTTTATCAATCGTTTGAAACCGGTTCTATCTATTCTAGTCTTATATAGGCTATCCACCAAAATGTATTGTTGCAATTTTTGCAATAGTACCTAACGTAGGTTTTAGTTTTGATACATAGGTATTTTATGTAAATGAACAATAACACTTCTTATCCCTGAGACCGTAAACGCTTGATACCTGTAACCAGAAATAATCAGAATCCTAACTTCGTTTCGGTGAGTGACGTCAGACCTCTGAGACCAAAACATCAGTAATGTGCTTTTGTGTGGTTTCGGTTTAACAGTAAATGAACAGAAAAAGAATACAATAAAATATGCAATAATGTTTTTACGACGAATACCGTAAAATTACACAAGCCTACTAAATGTATTGCATTTTCTTCGTTTTGGTCGCTGCAGTGTAAAATAATTGCTTTTTTATTTTGCCTTTTAGAAAATGCAATTTCTTCTACCTTGACTTTCTTCCCATATGGTACTCTGATTATGAATCGAAAGTCTTGCCTTGTATAACCGGCCCCTGTTAGCTCGCCGTGATCGTATAGTGGTTAGTACTCTGCGTTGTGGCCGCAGCAACCCCGGTTCGAATCCGGGTCACGGCAGGGCGATGTCAACACATCGGGGATTCTTCTATTTTTATTATGTTACTCTCTGTTACAAGAATTATAGTATTTGAGCTCAACGCAAACACGTTAATTGTCATTTTCTTAAGCAGACCGTTATTTCATTTTTGACTGCATTAGTCCTTAATTGTTCCCTAATTGTTTAAATTAGTTATCAGCCAAGAAGTCTGCAGAAAAGTCTAGATTTGTTTTAAAAACGAGATGCTTTCCATTAGTGTCTGTGTCCCATATAAACCTGCCACTGCTTCTTGATTTTGCTCCATATAAAAGATTTAGTTTCTGTTTTGCTTATTGGAATTGTAAGCTGGGCTACTTGATTTGCCCTTAATTCATTTTTAGCGAGGTGATCTATACTCTACTGTCTCATTACCTTGTATGTTTACATAAAAACTGCACATTTATTCTATATAAAGCATCCATGTAGTTGCATTACTGCCATATTTCGGAGTCAGTCAGCTCCTACATTGTCCCTATTTCTATAATGATCCCCAGTTGATTATGCATTTCTTCAAACATGTGCTCCCCTTCCACCTTATAATGCATTTAATATGACGCGCTACAGATTCTGTTCCCTGATAGTGCTCAAAAGGACCAGTTGTTGGATGCTTTCCTATGACAGTGTGAAGTAGTGAACTGCAGTCTGTTGTGCCCTATCTGTAATCTTACTAAAATGACCTCCTCTCACCGGTTTCCACCCCTCAACCTTACTCTGGTTCACTCATGGTTTGTTTGTATTTTTCCTTGCATTGGTCTCAACCTCAGATTTTGATAATCCCACTAGGAACCCACTATAACGAGACTTCAATGTCCTGTTCTATTGTTCTTTTGTGATATGATAACTTTATACAGGACATGGGATATGCCTGGTTTAAATGATACTACAGAGTGCAGACACAATTACTGCAAATAAGGACTTTTTTTTTTTTTTCACTTACATTGCTTACTCCAATCCAGGGTCATATAGCAAATAGCAACTGAACTGTATAAACAGATAATAAATCAGAAGTGCATTCCACTTTTTCAGTTTCATGACTTGGTATTGATGATGCTGTTTTGTCTTTTTTATTTGTCTGTCTATCTAGTTATTTGTGTTCAGCATACCAATAAAAAGCACCGACCAAATCTGCATTTTTATTCCTTGCCTTGAATTGCAGTAATTCTGTATCTACCTCCAGAGCCTGTTATAGCCTTATAGGGGTATCAGGCCAAATAACAGATGAGCAAAACTCTATTTCAGTGATTCCCACAGATGTTGCTGTTGTTTCTCCTCCCTGCCAAAACTTGTTTTCGGTGTACCGTGTCTTTCCCAGCAATCTTGTAATATTCTTGTAGTTGGGTGATAATAATCATGACCTTTCAAATGAATCCAATAATTGGTCACTGTTTCCTCCACAAAGGCATTTCTCCTGTCTGTATTTGGAGTGCGCACACAGGGAAGGATCTCACTGCACCCAAACACAATAGGTGCTCTGGATGGTATCTAAGCCTCTAAGAGACGTTTCTGATGCAGTATGCAACACTTCCAAAATCTAGCCGTGATCTGCTGAGAGTGAGGTAGCCTGTTTGTTTGAGTGATACAATATTTACCCCCAGTCCAACCCACCAGACCCATCGTCACATTGATAACTTCTTTACACGTATCAGTTACATTATCAATATGATCTTTCCACATTAATCTGGTGTCAAAATAAACACCTTAAAAAGTGAAATGTGTAAAGTACATTGCTTTTGTTTTGTCAGCTGTGTGAATTTAAATCCCCATTTCTTCCCCCCAAAATTCCACTTCATTCATCCTCTGTAAATAATTATCTTCCCAATCTGGTTACACAGCTCCAAATATGCTATTTATCACAATAGAGAACAGTAGAGGGCTTATGACTGTCCCTTGTGGAGTTCCATTTCTACCCCACATTTACTGACATTTCACTTACTACTTTAACGTAAATGATTATTTTATTTAAAAAGTAAATTATCCAATTATACATTCTTCCCTTGATTCCCAATTAAATGCATTTTATTCAAAAGTCCCTCCTTCCACAATACATCATAAGCTTTATCTAAATAAAAAAAAACACAGTTGCTACGTTTTCTTTATTAACTTGTGCCTTTCATATCACATCGTCAAAATTTAAGACTCAATCCAAAACACCCCAGCCTTTCCTAAATCCTCTCTGACACCCTGCTATCAGTTGTTGCTTCTCTAAATAATAGATTAACCTTTCATTAACCATAAGTTCCATTAGTTTAGATATATGTGATGTTAGGGCAATCGACCTATAATTAGATGGATTACTTGCAACTTTTCCTGGCTTTCTAATTGGAACAATAACTGCTTCCTCCTAACCTGCTGGAATACTTCCCTCTTCCCAAACCATATTATGCAACTTGAATACTTAATATAGTCCTTTGAAACTTAAAAGTTTTATCAGAATATAACATATTTCATCTTCCTGGAGCTGTAATTCCAGCACAAAATACTGCTCTTGTTCATCTTCAGTATACTCTTCCCTTAATGCATCCATATTTTGAGATTTTGTATCTTCTCTTCTTCCAGATTAGACGATTAGTCAGAAATGGGATCTGATCATCTCCCTTAAATGACATTTGGACCAATCAAGAAATAGGCCTTATATTTAGTTGAGTTTTGTTTCATGTAGTTGACGGCTTGAAGTGGAGAGGACTTGATTAAAATCTGGATATCAAGTCCTGCAATCGAGACGTGAATTATTTATGTTCACTTAAATATAATTGTGAAACTAAATATAACCCACATGTACCAGTGGGGGAGTGACTTCTGTTTAAAATGGACTGACGACGTGTTGCCAGCAGGTGGCAGTCGACTACATTCAATATTCACCTGCCATGACACAGGGAGGCGTTAACATGAATAATGCCTCGCTCCCTTTTATGGGTGCTTACCTTAACTTTGAAATAACTATTTACATTTGGAAAAAACAATTAGAGTGATCTCACACCTAAGATGGGTTAAGTAAGTATGTCATGATTGTGGTGGGTCCACTGTAAGGATTCTCATGAAAGCCTGTTTTTCAACGACAAGTCGGCTGGGGTAGATATCCCACTCCATATTCCATATTTTGGACTTCTTTGATATTGTATGTAGACTTAATCACAAACCCAGTACAGACTTAGTGTAGCCTACATCTCTCAGCATAAAGAAATATTGGGTATATGATTAGAATTTTTTTTTTTCAATCACCAGAGTTTTTTAATTAAAAAATAGAATAACATAAACAAGAAAAAAAAGCAAATGGTCTATTATTTTGTTTTGGTCGTTTGAAATTACAACATTGCATTGTTTAGCAAAAACAAAATTGTACATTTAAACCCAGTGGGGAAATGCCACGCTCCCATTGGTTCACTTCGACGTCAGTTTTCGTTAGGACCCGCCCGCTCGCTCAAGTGGCGGCTGTGAATGGTGAGAGATAATCCTCGGCTCTACCACAGACACACAACACGGCAGAGCAGCCTCCGGATCTGGATGCGGGCATCCTTGGATTCTGCTCTTCTTGGCACGGGCCCACTGCACGAACAACTTAAAGGGGACAACAATGGTGCACGCCTCGGCGGCTCAATCCGTGGCTGCTGGCCGTTCAGGGGACCGGGGACTGTGGTCAATGTGACATTCACTCGCACGCTGGTGTTGAGTTTATTGTTCTGGTTCTAGACGCAGCGGAGCAGCGTTTCTTCTGAGAAGATGTTGAGCAGATTTATGAGTGGCAGCATCAGGAATCTTGAGCGAGAATACAGCTGCACCGTCAGACTGCTGGACGATACGGAATATACCTGCACAATTCAGGTTAGTCACCTGTCGACCACAGGTTTTTTTTTTGTCACTCCGCAGAGCACTGAATAGAGCTGCGATTGTGTCTGACCTGGCAGACAGAGAGGCGAGTGTTTGAGCAGCAGAGGGACCTGCATGTCCCACTGCTGGTGTCTACCAAGACAAAAAAAAAAATAGCCCTGGAATGCAAAAATGTAGAGTTAACCTATTTGTCATTTCAAATTACACTTAGGACATTTGAGGGACTGTATTTTTTTTTACTCACATGACCCACTATTGTCGAGTGGTTTGAATGGCAGGCTGTGCGAGACGTCAAGGAGTTCTGTAGGACAGACATGACATTTCCCTAGAGCTCCGGTTGATGGGCTGTCAGAAGCACATTGCACTCTTAAACACAGAGTTAAAAGGCTTTTTGGAAGTATTATTTTCCTTACGTATTTATTAGAATAAGGTTGTGTTGCGTATTGGAATATTGCCTGTTGGTTCATCATTGCTCATCCAGTTCCCCTAAACCTTTGGCATCAATAATGCACATGGGGTATCCCGTTGCTCCTCTGACGAACATGAACCATGAAGTTCCAATGTGGATCCTGTAGATTATAAAACATAGAGACAAAACGTGTTGTTGATGGATGTAATTGGGATCATTTAGTGAGCCATTATGTGAATTTAATGACATGTTATCCACAAAAAATATCTTTTTTTTTTTGCTGGAGAAAAAAACAAACACCTCAGAGATATTGTCTTAGACAGACTGCTTGCACAGATGAAAACAGAACCGGGCCCTGATGTTAAAAATCCCTGCTTGTTGTGTCACCACGACAAGCAATGCTTTGATTATTATGCAGTTGAATGTTCACGCTGATTCAAAAAAAAAAGAAAAAAGTAGGTGAGAGGGCCTGTCAACATCAATAACAAGACCAAAATATTGTTCCCTTTGTGGAGGCTCTACAGTTGTAGGTGTAAAGAAATCCTTAGAGACTTCCCTGAGTCAGCAACATGTAGACACATTAAATCCTCTCAGCACAAATGAGATATATAATCTGCAATGTGAAACAGTGAACATGACGACAACAAGGAAAAGTGTTTGATTTCAGTAGGCCTAATTTTAACATCATCAGCAAGCCTTACTGCAGTTGCCTCTCTTTTCTCCCACACATGCAATAGTGAAACAGATACTGCAATTACTGTAGATGGTGACTGTGTGCCCAGGTTGTAAACAGACCTGCATTTCTGCTCTGAGCTGAGCCAGAGATGGACCTGGGCCAGATGGACTGTGAAGCCAGCAGGTGTGCTGCTTGCAGTGGAATCGTGTGGTCTGGGTGGCTGATGACAATATAGGCGGAAAGGAGGGGTGTGGAGAGAAAAAAAGAACGCTCCAGCTCTGTTGTGACTGTCTTGCAGCTTCCTTTATCTTTCTGTCTAACCAGAAGCTGGGGAGGATGTAGGCTAATCCACCTGACATTGAGTGTGTACCTTCATTGCTCCAATTTTTTTGCAGGCTTCTGGCTGGCCAACATTTAAATCACCCAGGACATAGGACACCTAGACTCAGGAATGCAAAGTAAGAAGCATAACTAGGTCATATATTCCCCGCCTCGTATGATCTCTCGCTACCTCAGAGTGCGTCCCTGTCTCTCCCTCTTTCTCTTTCTACCTTCCTGTTTCAGGTGGTTGAGCGTTTACTCCCACTAAACCGTTTTTCCGTTATACTCTGAACTTCTCCCTAAATTGCTCAGAATTCAGATTTACTCCTGACTTTTATTAGTATCCTTTTTTCGACACTGCACCAACTTTTTCAGTGACATGGACATCTTTATGGTGTTGATAAAACCGCCATCAGCTTCAGACATTCTAATCCAAAATATGGCGCACAACAGCTGAGCATTAAGCATTGCTGGGAGAGGAAGGGAAGAAAGTGTTTCCGTCTTTTTAAGCCAGTGGCAGCTGTAATGCATGAACTTAAGTTTTTGCTTTAATGAATTATGGATCCTTCCACCATGTTTGGAGGGAGGAAGAAAAGTGAACACTCATCATTACACAGCCCTGTAGACTTAGCTCTCGTCTAGTGATGGGTTGATGGAAGTGCCTGAAATCCTCAGTTGCCCTCGGGCTTCTTCTGCTCTCAGAATTTAATGCAATGTTGCAGCAGAGAGTAAAACTGAGACTTCAGCTGTGCCTCAATTTTGGCCTCTTACATCTGTATGTGTGGACATACAGATTAACCAAAATGTCAAGAAGATAGCACTGATAAACTGATAAATCAGCCGATAATTAGCACATCAAGTGACTATCGGTAACAGCTCATTTTATCGCAGATATGTGCTGACATTACTAATTGTATTTACCAGTCAAAAAGCATTTTCCTTTGAGTATCTTTGTATTACACTAGCAGTTCTCTTTCACCAGCAGAGTGAACTTTATGGATTACAACAAGCATTTTTACCCTCCAAAGTGTCAAATGGTCATGCACGTACATACGCATTTACTTTCCAGTTAAGCCACCATCTTTTCTTCATTATATCTTTTCCACAAGTGTTTGATAACTGCATATGAGGGATCAACAAAATAAATGTCTATATCTATATCTATCTATCTCTACAGATGGAGGATAGATCTAAGAAAGTTATAGGACAATATATTGGTATCAGATTTTTTCTCTCTAATATCGATTATTGATAGTTTCAAAGCATCTGAATTCAGGCTGTTTATCCCGAGTTTTCCCACCCCTCAAAGTTCTGTTTCTCAGATTGTGCATGTATAGAAGCATTGAATGTCGGCTCCTCGTTTTTTCTGGATCTTAAAGTCTTAAAGTAAAAGTTAATTCAATTCAATTCAATTCAAAAAACGTTATCTTTGTCCCCGAGGGGCAATTTAAGGGCACACAGAGCAGTAAAATAACGACAGTGCAGGAAGACTAAAACATTTAACCAAAAATATGAAGTGTCAGTTTAAATACAAAATGTAAAAATACAAAATGAAAAACAAAAAAAGAAATGGTTAAATGGTTGCTAATGGTAACATGGGTTTTGTGGAGAGGAGGCAGAAAGAGAGGGAAACAGACATTCTCTCCAGACAAGGGGGGGCCATTGTTCATCCCTTAAAGGATTGTTCTGATGCAGTTTTTTTTTTTTAAATGGAAAGAGTAGGGTGTGTTTTGGTTCCCTTCCACCCAAGTCCTGTTTGTGAGCATACGTCATTTTGTCAAGTTTTAGCTAATTATTATTTCAGAAAATGCCTACAATGAAAAAAGTATGATGTAAGTCATGGATCAAACTTATTTTCTCCGCTGTGAATTTGATAAGCTGTGTTTGGTTGTTGTGCTTTTAATTAATTTTGGATTTATTGAATGGCTGTCAGCATAGCGACCTGGCCTACTCAATTCCAGATACAGAGTTAATTATAGTTTACAACCTGTGATTTCCCTTGGCTTTCTAATAACTGTTTTGTTTGAGGAAACCGCTACCAACAGCTTTCAGGGCAGTGCCACCTGTTATTTAGGGCTAGCAATTAACAACTTTTTTATTTCATGTTTTACTTATCTGCCTATTATCTTCATGGTAAACTGTTTGGCTTATAGTATGTCAAAAACTGAGAAAAATAGAAACATTTTCACAACTTTTTCCCAAATCAAAAAGTGATGTCTTCAAAGTATTCTGTAAAAAAACAAAAAAATCCTATCCGAAAACCAAAGCGTCATCATTTATTCATAAAATCTTAAAGAAAAGCAGCAAATCAAAACATTTAAGAAGCTAGAATCAGCAAATGTTTGAGATTATGATGTATTTTGTTTAATCAATTGATTGTTTTAACTAGTTGGGCGGTGTCCTGCAGTCTATATGCAAATAAATCAAAGAGTCATTGTTTGATGTTCTAGCCTTTCCTTTCTGCAGTGACTGAAATGACTGCTGTACAAGTTCTCCTGAAGTCTGCTGACATCTTGTTGGGGGAGACTGCCGGGGGATGGGAGCCTGTGTGTTTTGAAGGGCTTTATTTTGAAGTATTGTGCCAGGGTCTCAGCTGTTGCTACGGCGACTCCACAGTTACTCTCACAAAATGTGAGATCAGTTACTGGTCAGGTTTCCACTTCCAGAAGACCGGACAAAAACTTGGCTGTTACACAGTAAGGTGATTTACTTCCTGAATGCCAATGGAGGGCACTGGTGGTCACGCTCACACCGACCAGGTCGATCTGGGCTCTGTCCAGTCAGGTTATAAATGTATAATTTGTGGTCAGACAGAATACGACTAAACGGGAGAAGGCATAAACTGCTAGTTTTCTTTTCTTTTTCTTTTGAAACAATAAAATCAAACGAAATAATTAACAATTATTTAACCTGTATTTAGAAGAAAAACCAAAATGAGAAAACAAAAAACTGCTCTGTTCTTCCGTTTTTTTTTGTGTGTATAAAAAATAATTAGGCCTTCTCCCATTCAGTCATACCCTGTCTGACCACTAAACTATACATTTATACCCTGACCCTAACCCACTGTTCCCATTACACACATACAGTTTGGTACCTTTTGTGATGTCATCATCATCAGAGATAATCTGCTGCTGTTGGCTGTTAGAGCTCACATGAATCTTTGTTTAGGAAAATTGGAAGTGCAATTAGAGATGAGTTTTATTTAATCCCTTTCCAAAGAAAAAAAAATCAACTATATTACTGAATAATACTTAATATGTTACTTAACTTTATATTAAAAATAGCTTATGTGTGAATTCCATTTAGCTGTATTTGTTTAACTAGCATAGTAGTATGTTTTTCTACAAGTCAAATAGTCGGCTATGAAGAAAGCCTACACCAAAGTAATACACTTTGAAAACCCTTCTTTGAAAACGTATTTCTTTTTATTGAACAAACAAACCAAAACTTTATTTTTCTACTATTTCAGGTGCCCTGTTAGCTAGCCTGATAGAATGGGAACCCCCTGTAACATGGCTGAGTTTAAGCAGCAACCCTATTTTTATTCAGACAACCTGCTCTTTGATTAAACTTCACCCCCCCCCCCTT